GGGGAGTGGCCCCCCCCCCCCCCCCCCCCCCGCCAGCTCCCGGGACCCGGGGCTGCCAGGAGATCCCCTTCCCCGCACACACTCTTCCCCAGCCAGCTTGAGCGGCTGCCTAGCTCCCCAAGTTCAGGGAGTGCCTGACTCTGAAGTCCACAGCCCAGCACACAGCTGAAATTCAGGACAACTGGAACCAGGTTTAGAAACATGCCCACGAGCAGGAAGGTGCCCAGGCCATCCCATTAGGCCAGATACCTTCAACTGCAAAATGTTTCCAGTTCATGAAGGACGCACGTTGAGCTCAAATGAAACCCCCGCCCCAGGGGCTCTCCTAGAGGCTGGGCTGGAAAACGGGTCCTTACCATCCATCACTGGAGGCCAGGCACGTGTGGGTCGTGGGGCACCCACCACCCAGTTGCCCTCATTACTTGCACAATTAAGCATCATGGCGGCTAGGGGCTCCTTGCAGGTGTGGCTGCCTGGCCCCGCGGCCCTGTCTGCAGGCCACCAGAGTAAAAGCTGCTGCCCTCCCTGTCTCTGGGTGGCCGTGAGGGTACTTGTGAGTGGACTGGACACATGGACCCTCTGCCCTCATGCTCAGACGTGGATGCCTGAGCTCACAGTAGGCAGTTTGCCCTCCCCACAGAGACATTTGGCTTCTGCTCCCCTGGGCCTGCAGGCCGCCAGGGGAACCAGGCTGGGGAAACGCAGGGAGCCACAGGTCCATGAGGGGCTTTGCAGGGTGCTCATGGGGTGAGGACTCCCTGTTACTTTAGAAAAGGTCTCCGGAGGGAAGAGAGCCACGAGCAGGAACTGGAACATACAAAAATATAGCACCACCGCACCACGCTCACCTCACTGGCGGCGGACTCCTCTGGCCCCAGGCTGGCCTGGCAGCGGTGAGAGGGCCGGAGAGGGACCTCCCTCAGCCCCAGGAAACCACGAAGGACGGGGTCCCGCGTCGGGCAAAACCGTAGCCCTGGGTGTGGAGCCTGGGGATCTGCCGCCTGCCCTGGCCCCCCAACCCCGGGCGGCGGTGGCAGGGCGGCCAGGACACCCGGCACAGAGCTGGTGGCTGGACAGGCCCGCGCAGTGCGGATTCAGCACCTCGGCCCGGACAGCGCCCCGGCCGTGTTACCCGCGGAGCCCGCGTTGGGCAAAAGCCGCTCCCGCCGCGCCCCTCGCGCTCTCGCGAAGCCCTGGCGACCCGGGCCTTACGTTGCATGGCGATTCCGGACTTGGCGGGGTCTCCTACCGTCCACGCTGGCGAGGCCCGGTAGAGCCTTACGCCCGCCCGCCGATCCCCGCCGGCTCTCCTGAGCCGTTTCGCCCAGAGCCCGCACCCCTCCCTTCCTCTCTCTCCGCCCTCCCGCCCCTTCCTCCCAGCCCCTGTGGCCACCCCTCCCAGGAACCTTCGGAAAATAAATAAATAAGTACGTAGGAGGCGGATGAGACCCCGCAGCCTGGATGCAACCCCTTTCCCACCTGCTCCATCCCTGCTGCTCCCCGCCCCTCCAGGGCCACCTCCATCTCCATCCTGCGGGTCCCGCCTGCTTGGAAGCCCGCGGAGAACCATCCCAGTTCACAGGAAGCCAAGGCGCTGGGGGCGAGACTGGTGCCACCGGGAAGTTGGGGGCTTTCCTGTAGGAGGACCAGCCCCGAGTGGGCCAACAGAGCAGGTGCACGTGAGTGCAGACACCTAGACCCCAGCTAGGGGTGTTCTATGGCCGGGGTCAGCTCCACGCTGGCCCTTGCATTTGACTCTCTTCCCCTGGAAAGTGTGTAGGGTCTGGGTGCAGGCAGCCTTGCTGCAGATCCTCCTACGCCGTCGTCACTGGGTCTCACGTTTGTTCTCTGTGCGCTCTCCCGATTAGGGCGAGTATTTCCTGAACCCCTCCTGGGACCCGGAGGCCCCCCTCCCTCCCCAGCCTGGGCGACGCGACCAAACACCCGACAACACAGCTCCAGGGGCCCAGAGGCAGCCTCGCTGCTGGGATGTCCAGCACGCAGGGACGTGCTGCGCTGGGGACCTAGCACCTACTCCTGCCGGCGTTCCCTGGCTCCCGCCGCCTCCGTGGCCAGGCCGGGAAGGGAGCGAGGACCTCTGGGTCTCCACGGGGTCCGCCCTCCCGGGTGCAGCCGCTCGGCCCGGGCACCCACCTCGGCGCAGGTCTTCCCTCCGCGCCAGCAGCGCCAGCAGCAGGTCGCCGCCCGCCGACTCCCGGCCCGGGACCAGCTCCCCGCGCGCCTCCATGGGTTCCCGCCGCCCGACGCCGCGGCTCTCCGGCCCTGAACTTTCCAGGGGCCCGGCGAGACCACGGCCTCAAAGGCCCCGGGCCGGCGTCTGAACGACTCCCGGCGCTGCTGGGCGCTGCGCCCGCGGGCCGCCCAGGGGCCCGGAGGCTCGGGCCGCGGGG